ATCTACAACGTGCATGATCTACAACGTACATGATCTGCAACGTGCATGATCTACAACGTGCATGATCTACAACGTGCATGATCTACAACGTGCATGATCTACAACGTACATGATCTGCAACGTGCATGATCTGCAACGTGCATGATCTACAACGTGCATGATCTGCAACGTACATGATCTACAACGTGCATGATCTGCAACGTGCATGATCTACAACGTGCATGATCTACAACGTACATGATCTACAACGTGCATGATCTGCAACGTGCATGATCTACAACGTGCATGATCTACAACGTACATGATCTACAACGTGCATGATCTGCAACGTTCATGATCTACAACGTACATGATCTGCAACGTGCATGATCTACAACGTACATGATCTACAACGTACATGATCTGCAACGTGCATGATCTACAACGTGCATGATCTGAACGATGCCATGCACTGTCGTTATAGAGAAGATCAGTAGGACTTTCACCAGCCTGATGATAAAAACAGGCTTTGTTCAGACCTTTCTGCAAGCTGTGTAAATATTGCTTTGTCTAAGTGCATAGGGCCGGCATTTCTGGAAGTACTGTATTCTAATTTAGTATTGTATTATTGTCTATCTTCGTGCCGATGCAACCCGTTCTCGCAAATTCGTAAAGTCAATATTGACTTATTAACTACGTGCATAGGTGATATACTAAACATAATAGATACCCTTAAAAAGATTCATAGAAAACACCGACCTTACCTAACCTTGTTAGTATCTTAAGATAAGCATCTTATTGCTTCGTAATTACAATTATTACTTAACCTATAACTATTATAGGTTAGGTAATAATTGTAATTACGAAGAAATAAGATGCTTATCTTAAGATACTAACAAGGTTAGGTAAGGTCGGTGTTTTCTATGAATCTTTTTAAGGGTATCTATTATGTTAAGTATGTCACCTATGCACATATTTAATAAGTCAATATTGACTTATTAAATTTGCGAGAACGGGTTGGCCGATTGCAAGTCAGTGAGCAATAGACACACCTCGCCACTCACACTCAGAACAGGTGGAGGCTGAGTTTAGAGTGGCCAAGTGATTATCTGCTTGGTGTCACGTTATTCAACCTGTCAGAGAGTGAAACTGTATTTTTACACACACACAACAGACATTTAGATATATGTGCATGTTGTAATGACTATCAGTTCAACCGGTTGTTATTGTTCCTGATTGTGCATGCCATTATATTGATTGTTAAACATCCGGAAGGAATTCCTGTGTTTTCCCTGTCAACTGACAGTGCTTGAAATGCCATGATTGGGATTGGTTGGCAATGTACTGTTAAGGCAGGATTGTTGACGTGAGTACCAAGTGTTCGGTCAGATAGCTCACTACCAAGTGTTCGGTCAGATAGCTCACTACCAAGTGTTCGGTCAGATAGCTCACTACCAAGTGTTCGGTCAGATAGCTCACTACCAAGTGTTCGGTCAGATAGCTCACTACCAAGTGTTCGGTCAGATAGCTCACTACCAAGTGTTCGGTCAGATAGCTCACTACCAAGTGTTCGGTCAGATAGCTCACTACCAAGTGTTCGGTCAGATAGCTCACTACCAAGTGTTCGGTCAGATAGCTCACTACCAAGTGTTCGGTCAGATAGCTCACTACCAAGTGTTCGGTCAGATAGCTCACTACCAAGTGTTCGGTCAGATAGCTCACTACCAAGTGTTCGGTCAGATGGGGGGCATATTCTTGTGTCTCTCTGATACAATATAAGCTTTGCCAACACCACGCATACAGTAACGCGAGCAACTAATGTATAAGTTCGTAAGTTTTATAAATAAAATTGGTTAAATTTATGAGAATGCTTGCGTTAAACCCTCTTAAATATAGCCTCCAATGTTGATGTATCCTCACTCCAGTTATAGTTCAAGGCTCTTAATTTACTACGCTCTTGATAAATAAATTTGAAGAGGGTCCCACGTGAGGCCTTTCTGAGTGGCCTTTCTTGCACTGAAGTGACTCCAGCGACCTACGTGACTCCCACGACCTACGTGACTCACACGACCTACGTGACTCCCACGACCTACGTGACTCCCACGACCTACGTGACTCCCACGACCTACGTGACTCCCACGACCTACGTGACTCTCACGACCTACGTGACTCTCACGACCTACGTGACTCTCACGACCTACGTGACTCCCACGACCTACGTGACTCTCACGACCTACGTGACTCCCACGACCTACGTGACTCCCACGACCTACGTGACTCTTACGACCTACGTGACTCCCACGACCTACGTGACTCTTACGACCCACGTGACTCTCACGACATACGTGACTCCCACGACCTACGTGACTCCCACGACCCACGTGACTCCCACGACCTACGTGACTCCCACGACCTACGTGACTCTCACGACCTACGTGACTCCCACGACCTACGTGACTCCCACGACTACGTGACTCCCACGACCTACGTGACTCCCACGACCTACGTGACTCTTACGACCTACGTGACTCCCACGACCTACGTGACTCTTACGACCCACGTGACTCCCACGACCTACGTGACTCCCACGACCTACGTGACTCTCACGACCTACGTGACTCACACGACCTACGTGACTCCCACGACCTACGTGACTCCCACGACCTACGTGACTCCCACGACCTACGTGACTCCCACGACATACGTGACTCTCACGACCTACGTGACTCCCACGACCTACGTGACTCCCACGACCTACGTGACTCCCACGACCTACGTGACTCCCACGACCTACGTGACTCCCACGACCTACGTGACTCCCACGACCTACGTGACTCCCACGACCTACGTGACTCCAGCGACCTACGTGACTCCCACGACCTACGTGACTCCCACGACCTACGTGACTCCCACGACCTACGTGACTCCCACGACCTACGTGACTCCCACGACCTACGTGACTCCCACGACCTACGTGACTCCCACGACCTACGTGACTCCCACGACCCACGTGATGCAAGAGGCCTGTTGAAGAACACCTCACAGAACGAGCCTCATTCAGCCACGTGCACCCTGGGTCTAAGCGCATTCTTACTAATAGTTTTTGAAGCCGTCAGTCATTGCAAAGTGGCGACGTTGCACGCAATTGCAGTTAGTGGTCGAACCCGTTGCATCACATATGAGTCACCCACCTCCCACACCCCACACCATCGGCCTCCTGCCCCAATACCTCCCACCATTGGCCTCCTGCCCCAATACCCCCCACCATCGGCCTCCTGCCCCAATACCCCTCACCATCGGCCTCCCATTGTGATAATCTCCAGCCAAAATTGAAATCCTTTAGGTAGTCAAGTTTTTTTTTTCTGTGCCTCTGTCCTTATCTTATTATTCATTTCCATTGCTATTTGCTTTATTTCTTCTCCTTATATCACCAGTCTGACATGCCGCACTGCTTCGTAAGGCCCCTTGACGACTGTGTCAATAAGTAAGAAACAACCATGTTTCACTCTGCTTCCTTAAACACACAACTTGGCATGTTTTAAAGCTGCCAATAATCCTTGTTTTTCTCTGTGATTGCAAGGATCCCTTGTGGGTTATCACTGTCGGCCGGCAAGCTTTGATTTATCACCTGTCTCGAGTCGCCGCTTCTTAATAATTCCACAGGTACGCTAAAGCAGAGAGAAATTGGTTTCCCAATGCACTAGTATATTGATACAAAGGAAAACTGGCTTCCTGGTTTATTGCTGGCAAAGGGAAGCCGCTTGAGGAGCATTGGAGAATTGAATCAAGTCTGGTTATTAAACAAGATACTTGGGTATTATTAAGAACAGTGAAACGAAACAGCTTCTAAATCAATGCACATAGATCACTTTTATTGACCAGTGAATCAAGGCTTTTTGGTCCACTGTGATAAACCCCAAGTGGCCATTTTAACCACAGGGGAAAACAGGGATTATTGACAGCTTTAAAACATGCCAAGTTGTGTGTATAATGAAGCACAGTACAACAAGGTCTGGAGTTTTCTCCGTCTTGACATAGTTGTCTAAAGTCCTCGTAACGAAGCGCTACATGTCTGACCGGTGACATAAGGAACAGAAATATGGCCGACATAGCGATGGGAAAGGAATAATAAGCACAGGAAAGAGGCACAGCAACACAAAATTCCGGACTACCATGAGACTTCAATTTTGGCCTTGGCTTAACCCAACGGGAGGCAGCTGATGCCGGCTGTTGGTCGCTGGGCGAGGCGCCACGACAGGACAATAGCTATTCAACCCCAAATTCTGTTGAATTCACTGTAAGAGTTTGGAGGTCCCAACTGGTGCCACAACCAGGACTTTACGAATGCCCCGCCGACACTCTGGCCTAGGGAGGGGTAATGTTGTTCTCAACCTATTTCTTTATATCCCTTCAGATCACAAAGAAACAAGTTGTTATTTTTTTAACTACTACAAATAAGTTGTTTGTGTTGGTAAGATTAGGTTATGTAAGTTGGTTAGTATGGGTGAGTTAGAATGGTATTTATTAAATCTTATACAGTAATACGTTGTGAAGGATAATTATAGAATTGAAGAGGAACTAATATGATTCTTATGATAAGAAATACGTAGACATGATTTTAATACTATTAGTATTGTTGCTCATAGAATACTTGTACATAAACAGTTTTGATTTAGAAAGATTTAACTTCGAAGGTTTTGTTTGGTTTTGACTTAAATTTTGTGATGTAAAAAGTGTTGTTTTAGGCATACTTTTGCATAAGCAATTTGGTAAAGTTAAATTTAGTTGTTACATAAAACTTTTATTGTTAGTTTAGACGTGTTACTGAAAGATTTGTAAGTTTCATTTAGTTGTTATAAAGAGTCACTTATTGAAAGAGTGCATTAGTTTTGTTATAGAGAACAAGAAATATTATATTGATGACTGACAGAGAGTAACAAGTAAAATGATTAGTAAGATATGTCTTAACAAATGTTTATGTCATAGAGACGCTTTGACTTAGCAAACTTATGTCTTAGGAAATGTTAGAGATGAAACACAGAAAAGATTACCCTAGTTATATTCTAGAGAATGTGGAAGTGTGTTTGGTGAGTGAGAGTAAATGTTTGTTCTTGAGAAAGAAGTTAGCTGTTATATCAAAGTAATATTATTTTGTTCAGAGAACTTGTGCATAAAATGTTAAGGCATTTTAAAGTTAAGAAGCTGTCCTTTAACAGATATATATGTTCTAAGAATGTGCTCGTTTGTCTGTCTGTCTGTATGTATGTCTGTCTTTAACTGTGCTCTGATAGTAAGGAGCATATCTTACTTAACTAGGAAAACAATATGTTTGTTTCCATAGTTTGCTGAAATTATATCCTGAAGGAAATTCCGACACTATTTAACAGACTTTAGCACAAGATGAAAGTGAAAAGTTGCAGTTTTTAGGTTAAATAAATCTATATAAATAAAAATGGATATGTTCGTTTGTTCAAAATCGCTAATCTCCGAAAGTACTTCACCGATTGCTTGGAAATTTTCACACAATGTTCCATTCGCATCCGAGCAGGTTTTTATATACATAGTATATAGATGTCACGTCTGCGACGAAAAAAAACTTACTTTTTTGAAAAACTGTGTTTTTCATGTGTTTTCCATGTGAGAGAAATCTTCGAAACATCTTTACCGATTGCTTTGAAATTTTGACACGACATTGCATTCGAATTGGCGCGTGTTTTTATATATCTACTATATACATGCCTCACCTGTGACAGGAAAAAACATGTTTTTTGAAAAACATTGCCGTCTATTGGACATAAGAGCAACATACGCTGTAATCTCCCAAAGTTCTTCACCGATTGCTTTGAAATTCTGACACAACTTTCCATTCGAATATGCGCGTGTTTTTATATATCTTCTATATAGATGCCACACCTGTGGTAGTTAAAAACATGTTTTTTTTTCAAAAACAGCGCCATCTGTTGCACGTAATAGAAACACACACGCTATACTAAATTTGTTACGAATTCCATTTCAATGTTTCCGATTGCATTGATAAATTTAAATTTCATAGATTTCGATGTATTTTAATTTTTATTGAATTATTTTGTGTGACATTTTGGTGGAATTGAGCTGTGTTGTTTACCATACCATTCATTTCTTAAGTATAAGTATAGAGGCCACACCTGTGACAGGTAAAAACATTTTTTTTAAGATACAGCACCATCTGTTGCACGTAAGAGCAACTTACTCTCTACTATATATGTTTCGATTCCATTTCAGTGTTTCCGATTTCATTGATAAATGGAATTTTCATAGATTTTAATTTATTTTCATTTTGATTTAATTATTTTGTGTGGCACTGCATAGGAATTGAGCTGTGTTGTTTACCATACCGTTCATTTCGTGAGTATAGTTTATTTTTTATTTTTTATTCTTTCATTGTTTTTCATTTCGTTTTTTAATTGTTCTTCTTTCTTATTTCAATGATGGGAACATCAGATGGGGTAAGAGGGGAGGGGGAGTGGGTAATGGTGGGTAGAACGAAGGGACGGTGTATTGGCGGATGGTGGGGAGGACAAAGGGATGAGGGAAGGAGGAAATGGTTGGGAGGACGAGGGGATGGGGAATGATTGGGGGGACGGGGGGGACGGGGGGGGGACGGGGGGACGGGGGAGGGGAATGGTGTAGAGGACTAGGAGACAAGAGGAGCGTTGCTGTTGCTCAGCAACGCACGCTTTGGCCGGGTACAGCTAGTATGAAATAAACATGTAATAAATTACTTTAGTTAATCCCACTAAGAATTTACGTACGTAACAAATTTATACTAAGAAAAGAGAATTACGCCACCAAAATCAACTTCACCAGTAAATAATGTTATAAATTAATTTTTAAAACCAGTTTCTGGAGTGTGAACATCATAAAACCATTTACCAGAACCGAACTTAATTAGTATTACAAAAATGAAATTAAACAAAACCCTATTTTCCCCTTTTTTATATAAACCGCATCTGGGAAAGCTGCCAGATGATGCAGGGATTGATGATTGACGATGATTAAGTCACCCAAGAAGTGGCACGGGCATGAATAGCCCGTAAGATGGAAGGAGAGAGAGAGAGAGAGAGAGAGAGAGAGGGAGAGAGAGAGAGACAGAGAGAGAGAGAGAGAGAGAGAGAGAGAGAGAGAGAGAGAGAGAGGGAGAGAGAGAGAGAGAGAGAGAGACAGAGAGAGAAAGAGAGAAAGAGAGAGAGAGAGAGAGAGAGAGAGAGAGAGAGAGAGAGAGAGAGAGAGAGAGAGAGAGAGAGAGAGAGAGAGAGAGAGAGAGAGAGAGAGAGAGAGAGAGAGAGAGAGAGAGAGAGAGAGAGAGAGAGAGAGAGAGAGAGAGAGAGAGAGAGAGAGAGAGAGAGAGAGAGAGAGAGAGAGAGAGAGAGAGAGAGAGAGAGAGAGAGAGAGAGAGAGAGAGAGAGAGAGAGAGAGAGAGAGAGAGAGAGAGAGAGAGAGAGAGAGAGAGAGAGAGAGAGAGAGAGAGAGAGAGAGAGAGAGAGAGAGAGAGAGAGAGAGAGAGAGAGAGAGAGAGAGAGAGAGAGAGAGAGAGAGAGAGAGAGAGAGAGAGAGAGAGAGAGAGAGAGAGAGAGAGAGAGAGAGAGAGAGAGAGAGAGAGAGAGAGAGAGAGAGAGAGAGAGAGAGAGAGAGAGAGAGAGAGAGAGAGGAGAGAGAGAGAGAGAGAGAGAGAGAGAGAGAGAGAGAGAGAGAGAGAGAGAGAGAGAGAGAGAGAGAGAGAGAGGGAGAGAGAGAGAGAGAGAGAGAGACAGAGAGAGAAAGAGAGAAAGAGAGAGAGTAGCCATTTTAAACCGGGGATGGTGAAACGGGTCGTGTTGTTATCCTGAGTGTTTGTGATCATCAAGTTATTCTCGAGTAGTTGTTCAACACAGATTGACACCACCAGTTCCTAGGAAGGCATTGTACCCGTTCAGTATTATTGGATCAGAGCTCTACCATATATTTACATACTGTAGCGGTTATGCCGTATAATTAATAACAACCAAGGGTGAGCAAATATAATATATATTAATTATATATTAATTATATAATTAATTACCACATATATTAATTAATATATTCATATAAAATAAATATATTGTGTGTAGTTCGATTTTACGGTGTTACTCGTTGGCCGGTTAACTGAGACGAGGAGGTTACTGGTGTGCAGCGTTACCCTGAGACCTGAGACCACGTGAAGGATTATTGTCCGGTCATGGACATAACGTCGCCGTGACCACGTGACCAAGAGTCCAGCTGGCTACCCACAACCTCTAACACTATAACAGCTAAGCTGTGAAAGTTTTAAATAAAAACCACAATTTTTCTAGATTACAATTATATGACGTCCCAATAATAAATCTAATTACTAACAACTCACGGATTAATTTTCGTGTAGTTGAAATTATAAAGTTCCCCAAGTTGTGTGAACGTAATAATAATAATTAAATAACAATTAATAAATTTACAGTCCAAATAAATACAAACAAACAAAATCTGGTACATTTTCCCCCATATATCCTCAGCTCAAGATCATGTCTCTATAGACAAACAAATTCACTCTTAACAATGTGAACTGCGGTCATTACACAATTTAAACTAATTAGGAGTTGTTGGCCAGCATTAGATGAGGCTGAACAAGATACGGGGAATATGTAACTATAAGACCAGTGTAGCTACATATTCCCCATTACATATAGAGATAACGTATGCTGTATTACACATCTGTATGAGAGGCGGGACCAAAGAGCCAGAGCTCAACCCCCGCAAGCACAACTAGGTGAGTACATAAATGGGTGTTAATTGGAGTTTGTGTTTAGTTGGGAGGGAGTAGGTGTTGACAGGACTAGGTATGTACAGGACTGTGGGGGTAAGGTTTTTGTTATTCTCTGGGTGAATTAATTTAAGTCACCCTGATCTTGCAGTTATCTTCCGTCTGTGTCTTATTTATTATTCTCTTGTCATTATTTATATATTTCTCACTTCTTTCGCTTCTGAATCATCTTTTCCGGTTTTCCTTATGTTTCTCTTCTTTCCATCTCAACTTTCTCCTTGATCTTCTCTCTCATCTCCTTCCCTTTCTTCCTGCTCCATCATTTCTCTCCCATCTCTCCCTTTCCCCCTCTCCTCTCATTTGCATTCTTTCTATTCCCTCACATTCTTCTTCTTCCACTTCCATCTATTTCCACCCTTCCCACTCTTCTTCACTCCCTGTTTCTCAACTTTTATCGATCCCTTCCTTTGCTAACCGCTACTTTCATTTTCCATCTCTTCTCTTCTCTTCACGCACTTGTCCATTCCCCTCCCACCATTTTTTCCCCTCATCTCTTATTTCACTTTTCTTCTCAGCCATTTATTGAGAGAGACTGTCAACAGCGCCCCACGCTGCTAAATGATGCCGATGTTGCCGCTGCTAAATGATGCCTGAGCTTGTCGTAGCTCAGTCGATTAAGGCAGTGTCTGGGATGCTCCCGGACGCAGGTTCGAATCATCGTCACGGCCCTTATGGATTTGTTCATTTGATGCATCACGTTAGTGTGATCTCTGTGTGTGAGGAGCTGATAAGCATGTAGCAACGCCGGAGCTGCCCCGTTACTGGCCTCTCTAAACAGGAACTAATGTAGGTGGATGACTAATTGGCGACAAGTATAAGGCGTGGATGACAGCCTTCCCAAGCCGGATGGCTGGCGGCTGACTGGGTCACTACCTTTTGCTCGAACACTGGATGATGGATGATAATTTGCTAATTAGCACGGTGCCATATAAGGAAGGACTGACAAGTAAAGGTGTTGTGGTTATGGATGGGATATCTGGGCATGGACTCGGGTACCTGGGCATGGACTCGGGTACCTGGGCATGGACTGGGGTACCTGGGCACGGACTGGGGTACCTGGGCATGGACTGGGGTACCTGGGCATGGACTGGGGTACCTGGGCACGGACTCGGGTACCTGGGCACTGACTGGGGTACCTGGGCATGGACTGGGGTACCTGGGCATGGACTCGGGTACCTGGGCATGGACTCGGGTACCTGGGCACGGACTGGGGTACCTGAGAACACACTGGGGTAAATGGGCATGGACTGGGATACCTGGGCATGGACTGGGGTACCTGGGCATGGACTGGGGTACCTGGGCATGGACTCGGGTACCTGGGCATGAGCCTGCTGTCATTTCTCGAGGGGCTGTTGAATAGCTGTGTTGCAATTGCCACTGGATGAACAATAACGTAACCATTCGCTGTGGTGTAACTTAGTCTGTGATATTTTTTTGTTTTGCAATACTGCGTCCTCAGTGGGCACACCTGTGTTCAGGTTAGTTCAGTGTGCAGCCTCACAGCAAGGGTTGCTATTTAGCTGTTTGTTATCGTGCCACTGGATGGACATTAACGTAACGTAAACTCGGTAATGTAGTAGTTAGTCTCTTGTTGTTAATAAATTGTTATGTAACAGAAAACGGTCTTTGATGTCAACCCTTCAACCATTCTTTTCCACTCAATGTTTCTTCATATTACGATTAAATGTTGATGTGATCTTGATAAGGCGGCTGTTCTTGGGAATTCGAATTCCAATTCATAGCGCCACATCAAATATAAATATTTGATTGTGAGAACCCGTCGGTTACCCTTTATTAGTTTTAACGTCCTGTTTAACTAGGAGGAGCCAGCGGCCTATTGTGGACAGGTTTTCACCCTTGGTGGTGGAGGCCTGGCGGTTTGCTCCCGCTTTTCCTTTTTCTATTGGACTCATGCTTAACTGCCGTGAGCAGCCTTTAAACTTGTAGTCCACCTCCTAAGGGAGGTAGGCGTAGAAAAAAATCTCACACTGAGAGTTCCGGAGTTGACCTCTAAGTCGGTGAAAGACAGCACAGGGACTCCAACCCCGGAGACCGCCGTGGTCGGGGCCGGAGAAGAACCACCCCATCAAGGGCATGAATGACCCCAGCCTCCTGAAGCAGAGCCTGGGGGGCCACACGAGCCCCAGGAGGTGGACGTCCCGGTTCCGCACCTACGGGTTCCTGACAGAGATCAAAACTAACAATATATTATAAGAGTAGGAAACCCGCCAACCTGTTAATGATGAATTCTCCCAAAACCATGAAAAACGCCTTGAAAGAGACCAACGTTGTCTACGCCTTCACGTGCCCACTTGGGGATTGTCAGCCCCAACGATCTCAGTATATAGGCAAGACAACAACGTCTCGCTCTAGGCGATTAACAATGCACAAACACCATCGCTCCATCAAGGAACATAGGAATATCAGGGATATTTTGATGAGCAGCATCGAAATAATTGATAGATACAATGACAACTGAAGATTAGACGAAGTGAGGTGCTGCATATCAAGAAATCTAGACCAACAATCAATAACCAGCTAGTACACACATACACTCTACCCACTTCAGTGTCTACATCCTACAGTGCCTACATCCTACAGTACCTACATCCTACAGTGCCTACATCCTACAGTGCCTACATCCTACAGTGCCTACATCCTAGAGTGCCTACATCCTACAGAGCCTACATTCTACAGTGCCTACATCCTACAGTGCCTACATCCTACAGTGCCTACATCCTACAGTGTCTACATCCTACAGTGCCTACATCCTAGAGTGCCTACATCCTACAGTGCCTACATCCTACAGTGCCTACATCCTACAGTGCCTACATCCTACAGTGCCTACATCCTAGAGTGCCTACATCCTACAGAGCCTACATTCTACAGTGCCTACATCCTACAGTGCCTACATCCTACAGTGTCTACATCCTACAGTGCCTACATCCTACAGTGCCAACATCCTACAGTGCCTACATCCTACAGTGTCTACATCCTACAGTGCCTACATCCTACAGTGCCTACATTCTACAGTGCCTACATCCTACAGAGCCTACATTCTACAGTGCCTACATCCTACAGTGCCTACATCCTACAGTGCCTACATCCTACAGTGCCTACATCCTACAGTGCCTACATCCTAGAGTGCCTACATCCTACAGTGCCTACATCCTACAGTGCCTACATCCTACAGTGCCTACATCCTACAGTGCCTACATCCTACAGTGCCTACATCCTAGAGTGCCTACATCCTACAGTGCCTATATCCTACAGTGCCTACATCCTACAGTGCCTACATCCTACAGAGCCTACATTCTACAGTGCCTACATCCTACAGTGCCTACATCCTACAGTGCCTACATCCTACAGTGCCTACATCCTACAGTGCCTACATCCTACAGTGTCTACATCCTACAGTGCCTACATCCTACAGTGCCTACATCCTACAGTGCCTACATCCTACAGTGCCTACATCCTACAGTGCCTACATCCTACAGTGCCTACATCCTACAGTGCCTACATCCTACAGTGTCTACATCCTACAGTGTCTACATCCTACAGTGTCTACATCCTACAGTGCCTACATCCTACAGTGCCTACATCCTACAGTGCCTACATCCTACAGTGCCCTTCCCAGCTCCCTGAGACACTGGGCCTTCCCAGCTCCCTGAGACACTGGGCCTTCCCAGCTCCCTGAGACACTGGTCCTTCCCAGCACCCTGAGACACCGGTCCTTCCCAGCACCCTGAGACACTGGTCCTTCCCAGCTCCCTGAGACACTGGGCCTTCCCAGCTCCCTGAGACACTGGTCCTTCCCAGCACCCTGAGACACCGGTCCTTCCCAGCACCCTGAGACACTGGTCCTTCCCAGCACCCTGAGACACTGGTCCTTCCCAGCTCCCTGAGACACTGGTCCTTCCCAGCTCCCTGAGACACTGGTCCTTCCCAGCACCCTGAGACACTGGTCCTTCCCAGCACCCTGAGACACTGGTCCTTCCCAGCACCCTGAGACACTGGTCCTTCCCAGCACCCTGAGACACTGGTCCTTCCCAGCACCCTGAGACACTGGTCCTTCCCAGCTCCCTGAGACACTGGTCCTTCCCAGCACCCTGAGACACTGGTCCTTCCCAGCACCCTGAGACACCGGTCCTTCCCAGCACCCTGAGACACTGGTCCTTCCCAGCACCCTGAGACACTGGTCCTTCCCAGCACCCTGAGACACTGGTCCTTCCCAGCTCCCTGAGACACTGGTCCTTCCCAGCTCCCTGAGACACTGGTCCTTCCCAGCTCCCTGAGACACTGGTCCTTCCCAGCACCCTGAGACACTGGTCCTTCCCAGCACCCTGAGACACTGGTCCTTCCCAGCACCCTGAGACACTGGTCCTTCCCAGCACCCTGAGACACCGGTCCTTCCCAGCTCCCTGAGACACTGGTCCTTCTCAGCTCCCTGAGACACCGGTCCTTCCCAGCTCCCTGAGACACTGGTCCTTCCCAGCTCCCTGAGACACTGGTCCTTCCCAGCTCCCTGAGACACTGGTCCTTCCCAGCACCCTGAGACACTGGTCCTTCTCAGCACTCTGAGACACTGGTCCTTCCCAGCACCCTGAGACACTGGTCCTTCCCAGCTCCCTGAGACACCGGTCCTTCCCAGCACCCTGACACACTGGTCCTTCCCAGCACCCTGAGACACTGGTCCTTCCCAGCACCCTGAGACACTGGCCCTTCCCAGCACCCTGAGACACTGGCCCTTCCCCTCTCTACCTACACACGCACTCACGGTACTCTCCCTATCTCCTCCCTCCCTGTCTCCCCACACTCACCCTCCTGCTCTCTCCCTAAACATACATTCCCTATGTCCCCCAACATACACACCTCCCCCCTCTTCCCCCCCCCCCCTGCACACACATACACCCACTCAAACACTCACCTCCCCCATCAACCCTCTCACTCACACCTTTCCAGGATCTCCACATCACTATAACCATTTTCACTACACACATTCTTCATCACTGCAAAAATCTACACACTTTTTCCCCATCTCATCCCACAAGCACCCTCTCTGTCTCCCCTCCCATATATGCTCTCCCCATCTGCACCCACACACACCGTCTCTCTCCAAAAACAATCTCCACCTCTCTCAAACACACACCTCCCTCTCTTTCTCTCCCACATACACCCTCCTAATCTCCTCTAACTCACACTCTGCTCTTCAACCACTCCCCACAGGTTTCCCATCTCGCCACATCACTGTAACACCGGCACTCTACATGACTGTAACCAAAAGACTGTAACCAGAACACAAATATGTTACGTAACATTCGTTTTGCATGTCAATATCTGAATATTCTAATCTATATAAATAAAAATTGAAATGTTCGTTTGTGCATGACCGCTAATCCCCGAAAGTTCTTCACAGATTGCTTTGAAATTTTCACACAACGTTCCATCCGCATCCGAGCGGGTTTTTATATACATACTATATAGATATCACGTCTGTGACCGTAAAAAAAAAAATGTTTTTTTTCTGAAAACTGTTTTTCATGTGTTTATCAAGTGAGGGAAATCTTTGAAACCTCTTTACCGATTGCTTTGAAATTTTGACACAACGTTGCATTCGAATAGGCGCGTCTGTTTATATTTCTACTATATACATGCCTCACCTGTGACAGGAAAAAACATGTTTTTTTGAAAAACAACGCCATCTGTTGCACATAATAGCAGCATGTACGCTATACTAAATATGTCACAAATTCCATTTCAATGTTTCCATTTGCATTGATAAATTTTATTTTTCTAGATTTCGATATATTTTATTTTTTAATGAATTATTTTGTGTGACATTGTGTTGGAATTGAGCTGTGTTGTTTACCATACCGTTCATTTCCTAAGTATAAGTATAGATGCCACACCTGTGACAGGTAAAACTATGCTTTTCTTGGAAAACAGTGCCATCTGTTGCATGTAATAGCAACACACATGCTGTACTAAATATGTTACAATTCCATTTCAATGTTTCTGATTGCATTGATAAATTTAATTTTCATAGATTTTGATTAATTTTCATTTGGGTTTAATAATTTTGTGTGAATTGTGTTGGAATTGAGCTGTGTTGTTTACCATACCATTCATTTCGTGAGTAGTTTATTTTTTTATTTTTTCATATTTTCATTTCATTTTGTAACTGATTTTCTTATATTTCAGTGATGGGAACATCAGATCACTTGATGTTCCCAATTTTCTGATGGGAACATCAGACCATTTGGGAAGGCATCGGACGAGGGGAGTAGGGAATGGTGGGGAGGACGAGGGGACAAGGGAGGGGGTAATGGTGGGGGAAGGACGAGGGGACGGGGGAGTTTGGGAGGGTGGGGACGAGGGAATGGGGGAATGGAGAATGGTGGGGAGGACAAAGGGACAGGGGAGTGGGGCATGGTGGGAAGGAAGAGAGAATGGTGGATTGGGGAATGGTGGGGGAAGGACGAGGGGACGGTGGAGTGGGGAATGGTGGGGAGGCCGAGGGGACAGGTGAGGGGAAAATGGTGGGGAGGACTGGGGGACAGGGAAGGTTGCTGAGCCACAGCAACGCGTGGCCGGGTGCTGCTATCCTAAACTCTATGGACTTTCGATGCCATATTTAATTTCCACCGACTTCGTGAAGGGAATGAGGGTGTTATAGGGGACAACACCCCCTTCAAGGGGGGCATGTGGGCCGACCCCAGTCTCTGTATGACACTCTTCATACACTCATACATCACCAAGTACAGTTGTATGAGGCTAACTGCAAGCCTCTGACCACATCTCTCCCACACTCACCCTTCCCATCTCTCCCACACTCACCCTTCCCATCTCTCCCATACCCACCCTTCCCATCTCTCCACACACTCACCCTTCCCATCTCTCCCACACTCACCCTTCCCATCTCTCCCATACCCACCCTTCCCATCTCTCCACACACTCACCCTTCCCATCTCTCCCACACTCACCCTTCCCATCTCTCCCACACTCACCCTTCCCATCTCTACCACACTCACCCTTCACATCTCTACCACACACACCCTTCCCATCTCTCCCACACACACCCTTCCCATCTCTCCCACACACTGCCTCCCCATCACTGAAACCATTTCCGTACACACTCTCTAGATCACTATAACCAATATGCTGCGCCCAGAAAGTAACTCTATCATCTGAACATATAGTTGTCGACATCTGAATTCAGAATTATTTAAACAAATGCTAAAGTCAACAAACTCGGCGCAACACATTTCACATCCACTGGCTTTGTGACGACAGTTGATGTGAAATAAGGACTGAGCCTCCTTCAAAGGGGGACAATCCCTCCTGCCTCCTGCTACACCAGTGTCAGTGACAAGTATTCCTTGGGAAATGTTGAGAAAGAGCTGCGCGAATTTAGAAGAAGAAAATTATTGACAAATTTATTCGAGTTTTATGACAAAGGGAAGGGAACTATCAGGAGAAAGCGCGTAGCCATTACGACTATAAAGCACTTAGAAGGGGTCAGGATAAGGACTTGGGATGGGACGGGGAGGGAAGGAAGGAAGGAATGGTGCCCAACCACTTATGGACGGTCGGGGATTGAACGCCGACCAGCATGAAGCGAGACCGTCGCTCTACCGTCCAGCCAAAGCGGTTGGGCAGTTAAAGTCAGAGAGAAGGTTGATGTGAGTGACGCCCCCTGGTGAGTGATCTCGTGTATGTGAGTGACGCCCCCTGGTGAGTGATCTCGTGTATGTGAGTGACGCCCCCTGGTGAGTGATCTCGTGTATGTGAGTGACGCCCCCTGGTGAGTGATCTCGTGTATGTGAGTGTTTACTGACGACACCACGTTAATGAGGAATGTTTATACCCAGAAGGAATGTGATGAGTGTCAGGAAGACTGCGATAAACTTCAGGCGTGAGCAAGTTAAATTTTGAGTAATTAATTACGAAGAGAGAAAGCGCTAAGCCGATACGACTAAAGCACTTGGAAGGGAGATGAGAACAAGGAGCTGAGATAGGACGGAGGGAAGCAATAGTGTCCAACCACTTGGACCATCGGGGATCGAACGCTGACCCGCATGTGGCCAGTCCATCGCTGTACCGACCAGTACAAGTGGATGCACCGAGGAGTAGGCAAAACAAATCATTGCTAGAATTCAATCCAGACATGTGTAAGGTAATGAAGAAAGAAAACGGAGACAGGAGACAAGAAGGTATAACTACACCATAAGGGGAAGGCACTTAGGGAGGGAGAGGCACCTAGGGAGGGAGAAAGTCTTTCTGAGGGAGAAAGATTTAGGAGTAGAAATAATTCCAACACAAACACCAGCGGCACACATAAACAGAGTAACATCAGCAGCATATGGGACGTTGGCAAACATTTAAACGACGTTTAGAAACATAGATCCGGACGCTAACAAGGCAATCTACACACTCTTTCTTAGACCAATAATGGAACGTGCAGCAACGGCATGGAATCCGGACCTTCCTTACAACACTAGTGGACAGAAGAAACAAAGGAAATATGATCACAACATACATGATACCGGTGAGGAGTAGACAAAGTGCTCTAGGCAAACCTGGCAAACCTGAGAGAATGTAGGACAAGAGGACACAGGTGGAAGCTGGAAACACAAATGAGTCGAAGAAATGTACGGAAATAATCGTCCCCTGTGAAGGTCAACAAGTGGAATGACC